TCTCAATCACGAGCAAAAATACAGAGAACCTAAAATGTTCTACAACGAGAAGATTAGAGACCAATTCATGTTATTTATTAATTGTTTCCAATATTTAATCCATTAGGTCATATATGCTTCCGCTTTATTGTTTTAAGGAGTATTGACAATTGTTTTGATTAAAAGGTTTAATACTTATTAATTATTGGTACATTAATCAAAAATTCTAACAAACAATCCCAAGAGTGATTCTCTCTGCACCTCACAGCTTTCGTCCTGCACCTTCAAAATACATTTTAATTCCTGTCATACATGCATGTGCTTGGTTGGGGTATTCAGTTCGTGTTCGTCGCCGCACACTGCTTAAACGCACGCTGCTTAAACGCCGTTTGTCACAGACTTCCGCAATTGGAAGTGCGGTGGAGAGAAACCACATTTCGATCTGCGGAAAGCGGCCACACTAACCGCACATGGAAGTGCGTTAGTTGTTGCCGAATTTCAAATTGCGTTAGGTTTTTGAAAGGTTTTTTAATTCTTATTATTAGGTTAGTATATTTATTTTATTAGGTTTTATTTTTATTAGCTTACGGATTTCAAATTGCGTTAGATTTTTGAAAGGTTTTTTAATTCTTATTATTAGATTTTTGAAAGGTTTTTTTAATTCTTATTATTAGGTTAGTATATTTATTTTATTAGGTTTTATTTTTATTAGCTTAGTATAATAAATTTAATTTTTTATGTTAGTATTTAAATAAAATGTTTTCTTTTAATATATTTTGAATTATTTTATTTGTTTGTTAAATTTTGTTGAATTTTTTATTTTTGAACATATTATTATTTTCGTAATATATTTTTTATTTGAAATTCGTAGCATAAAAAAAAAAGTGCAACAGAAACATATAAAACGCACTTCGAAGTGCGACCACTAGGAAACGCACTTCGAAGTGCGGTTAGGAAACATTAGATTAATTAAGTTTTGACTTTTTATCAAATGAAGGGTAAAAAAGTAAAATTAGAGGTGCAGGATGAAGGTAGTGAGGTGTAGGAAGAATCACTGTAATCCCAACTCTTCCAAATAAAAGTTGTCCAAACATGACAAATTTGTTCCTAATAAATTGATACTTCCATGACTACTATAGATTCAATGCGAAAAATTCCTCTCCATAGCTAAATAGATCATTGATAGTATTTAGAAATGAGGTTTCATTCCATACAGACAAGTTTTATAAAAAAGAAAATACAGACAAACGTTGAACCCACATAAAACAAAATTACATTGAACTAATTTCTTCCCAAACGAATTACACGCTTTCTATTGTTTGCTCTGGGCAGTCTAACAATAAACACAACTTCAGCGAGTCTTGCAAGCCATTGGGGTTTTCCAGCAAAGAATACATTATAACCCAATATTATTCCAAAGATCGTCCCACATCCATAGCCGATTACAACGGCTTTCCACCCAAATCCTGATTCTTCTTCATCAAATGTTGAACCTTGTGACCTTTCTTTATTCCTTTTTCATTCTTTCCATTGCAAGATCTTGACAAGGGGAATCCACACAGCATTGGATTTCCAACATAGGAAACATTTTCAAATGTGTCAAAGTGTCGACTCTCAGGTATCATTCCCTCCAATTGATTTTGTGAAAGGTTCAAGACACCAAGAGAATTCAAATTTGTCAGAGTCATAGGAATCTCACCCTTCAATTGGTTCCATGAGAGGTCCAACCATTCCAAATTTGTTAAATTACCCAATGACAGTGGAATGGTACCAGTGATTTTATTGTGTGAAATGTTAAGCCCTTTGAGAGACTTTAACTCTCCAATGGCTTTTGGAACTTCTCCTTCAAACATATTATTTCATAAATCAATGACTATCCAAGCAGTAAATATCCTCGTGAGTTCTCTGTGAAACCCTTTAATCACCAGCACTATTGAATCATTATATGTACGATGGTTGCCCAAATATGTCGAACCAGTTTGGCTGTGATCCACATTCATCATTTCTTGAAAGTTGACGATATATGATGATGGCAAGGGTCCGGTAAAGTAGTTATTGGAGATGTCAAAAATCCTCAGCCTGGGAAATGAAAGTTTGGTGCCGATAGAAGGGATGTCACCATAAAATTTATTTGACTGCAAACTGAGTACCTGTAAAGTTGGCAAAGTTTCTAAATAAGAGGGAAATTTATCCTCTATGTCATTGTTTCCAAGGTCCAAAACATCAAGGTTTGTACAGTGATTCAAAGTCTGTGGAAACGGTCCCTTCAAGTGATTTCCATTCAACTTGAGAGTCTTAAAGGCATTTCCTTCAGAAAAGTTATCGGGTATGCTTCCGTAAAGGTTGTTGTCTTGCAAATCCAACGCCCAAAGAGAAGGAAATGTTCCCAAGCATTGTGGAATAAGTCCTGTCAAGTTGTTGTGAGCCAAGTTGATTACATAAAGCATTGTTGCGTTGCACAATGCTAAAGAAATGTCCCCACTCAGTTCATTATTTGACACTGAAAAGTATCGAATGCCATTTGGTAGAATCGGAAGATCTCCTTGCAACTTATTGAAACTGAGATCAATGTAACTAATATTCTTCCAGAAGAGCAAGAGGTTCTCTTGAAACCTTTTGGGAAACCTTCCTTGAATTATGTTATGAGAAATATCTAATTCTTTCAGATGTGGTGTCGAGAAATTTGGAAAATTGCCTTGCAGTTTATTATTAGAAAGTCTCAAATATTGCAAAGAATTAGATGAGAACTCACTAATTGACCCTGTGAGTTGATTGTTACTAAGATTCAAGATGAATAAAGAAGGCAAAGAATAACACCCACCGGGAATTGATCCGTTTAACATGTTACCACTCAAACTTAGGATCGATAATTCAGATAGTTTGGTGATTTGGGTTGGAATTGGGCCAACTAATTTATTATCTGATAAATGTAAAAGAGTAAGGAGAGTAAGATCAAACAATGATGGTGGAATAAATCCATCAAAATTGCTTTCAAAAAGGGATAGTTGGACAAGAGACTTCAAGTGGGCTATGGAATCAGGAATGTCTCCTGAGAAATTAGTTCGATAAATAAACAAGGCTCTTAGTGGAGTAGTCCAGTTGGAGTTTGGAAGTTCACCTGTCAGGTTTTCATTCGATAAGATACTCATTTCTTGGAGATTGGGTAAACAGAGGATGTCAGTTGGCCATTTCCCTTGGAGTTTGGTATCCGTGAAACGGAGAGAAAGCAAAGAGGACGACAGATTGGTTAACAATGACAAAGAGCTCTCTCCCACAGAAGACATGTTCACTCCACGTAAAGAAATTTCCCTTAAATTGGTGGCGTTGTGAATGAGTTTGTTCCAAGTGTATGAATCAAGTCTCGGTATGGATTCACTAGAGTGTACATTGAGATCAAGATTTTTTAATTTTGACAAGTGAGAGATTTTGGAGGGAACATCACCATTAATTCTAAGGTAATGTAAAGTTAAATATGTGAGGCTGACAAGATCACCAATTGCAGAGTGTATTGGAGATCCATCTAAATCATAAGAAAGTAGGCTAAGATGTTGAAGGTGTCTTAGCTTGAAAATGGAACTATTGGGACCAAGTAGCTCACCTTTAAGAGGAGTGCAGGAAAGGTCGAGGCCAATCACATGACCTAACTCAGAGTCACATCTGACACCATTCCACCCGCAACAATCTGTTTCATTGTTCCAAGATGCTGTGTTTGATAAATACGGGAGACAATTAAACGAAGTTGATGGCTTGACAACAGTAACTGAATTTTTGAATTGCAACAGGACAGATTCGTCATCAGGGTTGCATGACAAACAATTGTATGAAGAAAAATGTAGAAGCAAATATTGGAAGATAATCAAGTATGACACTAAAACCCAACGCATATTTAAATGTAGTTTGGTTGCTGCCAATCCAGTGATTTCATCTATATATAAGAAGAAATTGGGCGATTTTAAATTTTCAAAAAAATAGTATATAGTACTTAAATTAATTTTGTATTATACGTAAACCAATAAGAATTATATACGGTGGTCTAAAACCATTTCCTTACAGATGTTTTTATATAATTTCATGACATTTTCTTGAAATTAGTTTATCGGCAAACTAATTTCTCAATTTTTATGTTTATGGAATTTTCTCATTTTTTTTATTTTTCCTGTTTCATATTGAAGTCTTATGGTGAAGATGGCTAGCAATTTCAAAAAAGAAAGGACGAGTATTATGTTCGAGATTTCCAAGTCTTGCGTCCATTTAAGGTCTTGAGACTTTCTAATAGAAATGACAACGTGTGAGATTTTTTATATTTTTTCATTTGTCAAAATTTGATAATTATGTATTAATCAGATAGTTAAATGCATACTTGCAGTTGTTAGTGATATTTTGGTTTAAAAGTTTTAAATATTCTAAAGAATGATAAATAAGAGGAGGNAAAGGTTTTTTAATTCTTATTATTAGATTTTTGAAAGGTTTTTTTAATTCTTATTATTAGGTTAGTATATTTATTTTATTAGGTTTTATTTTTATTAGCTTAGTATAATAAATTTAATTTTTTATGTTAGTATTTAAATAAAATGTTTTCTTTTAATATATTTTGAATTATTTTATTTGTTTGTTAAATTTTGTTGAATTTTTTATTTTTGAACATATTATTATTTTCGTAATATATTTTTTATTTGAAATTCGTAGCATAAAAAAAAAAGTGCAACAGAAACATATAAAACGCACTTCGAAGTGCGACCACTAGGAAACGCACTTCGAAGTGCGGTTAGGAAACATTAGATTAATTAAGTTTTGACTTTTTATCAAATGAAGGGTAAAAAAGTAAAATTAGAGGTGCAGGATGAAGGTAGTGAGGTGTAGGAAGAATCACTGTAATCCCAACTCTTCCAAATAAAAGTTGTCCAAACATGACAAATTTGTTCCTAATAAATTGATACTTCCATGACTACTATAGATTCAATGCGAAAAATTCCTCTCCATAGCTAAATAGATCATTGATAGTATTTAGAAATGAGGTTTCATTCCATACAGACAAGTTTTATAAAAAAGAAAATACAGACAAACGTTGAACCCACATAAAACAAAATTACATTGAACTAATTTCTTCCCAAACGAATTACACGCTTTCTATTGTTTGCTCTGGGCAGTCTAACAATAAACACAACTTCAGCGAGTCTTGCAAGCCATTGGGGTTTTCCAGCAAAGAATACATTATAACCCAATATTATTCCAAAGATCGTCCCACATCCATAGCCGATTACAACGGCTTTCCACCCAAATCCTGATTCTTCTTCATCAAATGTTGAACCTTGTGACCTTTCTTTATTCCTTTTTCATTCTTTCCATTGCAAGATCTTGACAAGGGGAATCCACACAGCATTGGATTTCCAACATAGGAAACATTTTCAAATGTGTCAAAGTGTCGACTCTCAGGTATCATTCCCTCCAATTGATTTTGTGAAAGGTTCAAGACACCAAGAGAATTCAAATTTGTCAGAGTCATAGGAATCTCACCCTTCAATTGGTTCCATGAGAGGTCCAACCATTCCAAATTTGTTAAATTACCCAATGACAGTGGAATGGTACCAGTGATTTTATTGTGTGAAATGTTAAGCCCTTTGAGAGACTTTAACTCTCCAATGGCTTTTGGAACTTCTCCTTCAAACATATTATTTCATAAATCAATGACTATCCAAGCAGTAAATATCCTCGTGAGTTCTCTGTGAAACCCTTTAATCACCAGCACTATTGAATCATTATATGTACGATGGTTGCCCAAATATGTCGAACCAGTTTGGCTGTGATCCACATTCATCATTTCTTGAAAGTTGACGATATATGATGATGGCAAGGGTCCGGTAAAGTAGTTATTGGAGATGTCAAAAATCCTCAGCCTGGGAAATGAAAGTTTGGTGCCGATAGAAGGGATGTCACCATAAAATTTATTTGACTGCAAACTGAGTACCTGTAAAGTTGGCAAAGTTTCTAAATAAGAGGGAAATTTATCCTCTATGTCATTGTTTCCAAGGTCCAAAACATCAAGGTTTGTACAGTGATTCAAAGTCTGTGGAAACGGTCCCTTCAAGTGATTTCCATTCAACTTGAGAGTCTTAAAGGCATTTCCTTCAGAAAAGTTATCGGGTATGCTTCCGTAAAGGTTGTTGTCTTGCAAATCCAACGCCCAAAGAGAAGGAAATGTTCCCAAGCATTGTGGAATAAGTCCTGTCAAGTTGTTGTGAGCCAAGTTGATTACATAAAGCATTGTTGCGTTGCACAATGCTAAAGAAATGTCCCCACTCAGTTCATTATTTGACACTGAAAAGTATCGAATGCCATTTGGTAGAATCGGAAGATCTCCTTGCAACTTATTGAAACTGAGATCAATGTAACTAATATTCTTCCAGAAGAGCAAGAGGTTCTCTTGAAACCTTTTGGGAAACCTTCCTTGAATTATGTTATGAGAAATATCTAATTCTTTCAGATGTGGTGTCGAGAAATTTGGAAAATTGCCTTGCAGTTTATTATTAGAAAGTCTCAAATATTGCAAAGAATTAGATGAGAACTCACTAATTGACCCTGTGAGTTGATTGTTACTAAGATTCAAGATGAATAAAGAAGGCAAAGAATAACACCCACCGGGAATTGATCCGTTTAACATGTTACCACTCAAACTTAGGATCGATAATTCAGATAGTTTGGTGATTTGGGTTGGAATTGGGCCAACTAATTTATTATCTGATAAATGTAAAAGAGTAAGGAGAGTAAGATCAAACAATGATGGTGGAATAAATCCATCAAAATTGCTTTCAAAAAGGGATAGTTGGACAAGAGACTTCAAGTGGGCTATGGAATCAGGAATGTCTCCTGAGAAATTAGTTCGATAAATAAACAAGGCTCTTAGTGGAGTAGTCCAGTTGGAGTTTGGAAGTTCACCTGTCAGGTTTTCATTCGATAAGATACTCATTTCTTGGAGATTGGGTAAACAGAGGATGTCAGTTGGCCATTTCCCTTGGAGTTTGGTATCCGTGAAACGGAGAGAAAGCAAAGAGGACGACAGATTGGTTAACAATGACAAAGAGCTCTCNTCACCTCTGTTTAAAGGTTACGTTTTTTATTTTAGGGTTTTATTTGAAGGTTTATTCGAATACGCACCTTGAGGAAGTAACACACGCACTGCACCACTCCACACATTGCACCACGAGAGCGACACTGCACCACGAGAGGGAGACTGCTTGATAATTCTTTCCACCACCATCAACCTTTACAACTTGTAGTATCTCACACCGACAAAAGAAAGAGAGAAAGAAATATAATGTTAAAATAAAAGAAAAATATTTTACTCATATACGAAGGACTGGAATAAGTTATTAGTGGAATAGGTTGTGAATGGGTAAAATTAAAAAATAATCCTAAAAAAAAATTTTACTTAGGGACAAAATAGTAAATGGGAGGTGGAGGAAGAAAGGTGTGGTGGTGGAGGGAGCAACACATTAAAAAAAAATAAAGAGAAAAGATGATAATCTTATAATTTCAAACAGATTAAAATATATTAAATTTAAATTTATTTGTTTTATGAAATAAGAGAATGGTTTTTATCACTTGAGTTTAGTTAAAATTTACTTTTGATATTAATTACAATTAATTATTATTGGTTATGGTTATGCTTTCTTTTATGTTGTTGGTGTACATCATTCTTTTTATATTTGTGTCAAGATTACTCGAAAGTTTTTTCAATTTACACTAGGAAAAAAAATTTGATTGGCTTATAAAATGATAACACTAACAATATCATTTCGAAAATGATCCCTATAGATTTTGATAAAAAAAATTAATTTCAGTAGTTCATTTTAATTGGCTGATTTTTCTTACTAATACTAATCTAAAAGTAATTTTGGTATATATTATTAGAAAAATAATTTCAATATTTTGAATCCAAAAAATCATATGTATTAACACCTAGTAAATTCTGATTTACATTGCTTAATAAATAATTTCAACGACATTGTTTAAAAAACTTCTATTCACTTCAGTCAAAAATTTGTTTTGTTAATGATCAACAACATAACGATTAAACAACATAATGATTAAGGTTGAATCGATAACATAACAATTGAGATTGGACTAACGACAACAAGGCTGAGACCAAACCAATCGGAGAGTAAAAAGAAAAAAGACACAAATATGAGACATTTAATATCCCTTTTAATGGATGATTATGTAGTTTTGAAATGTCTTGATTAATTTCATAAATATTACTCTTACATGTTCCAACTCCTAATGATTTGCTTCTTTAAAATTCTTTAGAGTATTTATTCATTTTCTTTAAATTCAACTAAAAACATGTAATATGATACCATAAATATTAAACTAGGGATCAAGTCAACTATGAACCCTATTTCTTATACTCTTTACTACTAGAGGTAAACGATAAAACACAATATTAACTATTAACACAATATTAACTATTAGTGTCATATATATATATATATATATATATATATATATATATAATTATTATATGTGTTAGGGCTATTATATTTTTATTAGCCAATTTTATAAAATGATCTAATTAAGTAAATATGATTAAGGGTAAATTTGCCATAAAAATTATATTGTATAGAGATTTGTAATAATTTTAATTTGTTGAAAAAATCAAATTATAATTATTGGAACAAAAGAAAAGTAATCGACAGAGATTATTTAAAAGATCATAGTCTCCATGCGCGTCGTATCATTCTTATTCCTTTCTCTCTATCTCAATCACGAGCAAAAATACAGAGAACCTAAAATGTTCTACAACGAGAAGATTAGAGACCAATTCATGTTATTTATTAATTGTTTCCAATATTTAATCCATTAGGTCATATATGCTTCCGCTTTATTGTTTTAAGGAGTATTGACAATTGTTTTGATTAAAAGGTTTAATACTTATTAATTATTGGTACATTAATCAAAAATTCTAACAAACAATCCCAAGAGTGATTCTCTCTGCACCTCACAGCTTTCGTCCTGCACCTTCAAAATACATTTTAATTCCTGTCATACATGCATGTGCTTGGTTGGGGTATTCAGTTCGTGTTCGTCGCCGCACACTGCTTAAACGCACGCTGCTTAAACGCCGTTTGTCACAGACTTCCGCAATTGGAAGTGCGGTGGAGAGAAACCACATTTCGATCTGCGGAAAGCGGCCACACTAACCGCACATGGAAGTGCGTTAGTTGTTGCCGAATTTCAAATTGCGTTAGGTTTTTGAAAGGTTTTTTAATTCTTATTATTAGGTTAGTATATTTATTTTATTAGGTTTTATTTTTATTAGCTTACGGATTTCAAATTGCGTTAGATTTTTGAAAGGTTTTTTAATTCTTATTATTAGATTTTTGAAAGGTTTTTTTAATTCTTATTATTAGGTTAGTATATTTATTTTATTAGGTTTTATTTTTATTAGCTTAGTATAATAAATTTAATTTTTTATGTTAGTATTTAAATAAAATGTTTTCTTTTAATATATTTTGAATTATTTTATTTGTTTGTTAAATTTTGTTGAATTTTTTATTTTTGAACATATTATTATTTTCGTAATATATTTTTTATTTGAAATTCGTAGCATAAAAAAAAAAGTGCAACAGAAACATATAAAACGCACTTCGAAGTGCGACCACTAGGAAACGCACTTCGAAGTGCGGTTAGGAAACATTAGATTAATTAAGTTTTGACTTTTTATCAAATGAAGGGTAAAAAAGTAAAATTAGAGGTGCAGGATGAAGGTAGTGAGGTGTAGGAAGAATCACTGTAATCCCAACTCTTCCAAATAAAAGTTGTCCAAACATGACAAATTTGTTCCTAATAAATTGATACTTCCATGACTACTATAGATTCAATGCGAAAAATTCCTCTCCATAGCTAAATAGATCATTGATAGTATTTAGAAATGAGGTTTCATTCCATACAGACAAGTTTTATAAAAAAGAAAATACAGACAAACGTTGAACCCACATAAAACAAAATTACATTGAACTAATTTCTTCCCAAACGAATTACACGCTTTCTATTGTTTGCTCTGGGCAGTCTAACAATAAACACAACTTCAGCGAGTCTTGCAAGCCATTGGGGTTTTCCAGCAAAGAATACATTATAACCCAATATTATTCCAAAGATCGTCCCACATCCATAGCCGATTACAACGGCTTTCCACCCAAATCCTGATTCTTCTTCATCAAATGTTGAACCTTGTGACCTTTCTTTATTCCTTTTTCATTCTTTCCATTGCAAGATCTTGACAAGGGGAATCCACACAGCATTGGATTTCCAACATAGGAAACATTTTCAAATGTGTCAAAGTGTCGACTCTCAGGTATCATTCCCTCCAATTGATTTTGTGAAAGGTTCAAGACACCAAGAGAATTCAAATTTGTCAGAGTCATAGGAATCTCACCCTTCAATTGGTTCCATGAGAGGTCCAACCATTCCAAATTTGTTAAATTACCCAATGACAGTGGAATGGTACCAGTGATTTTATTGTGTGAAATGTTAAGCCCTTTGAGAGACTTTAACTCTCCAATGGCTTTTGGAACTTCTCCTTCAAACATATTATTTCATAAATCAATGACTATCCAAGCAGTAAATATCCTCGTGAGTTCTCTGTGAAACCCTTTAATCACCAGCACTATTGAATCATTATATGTACGATGGTTGCCCAAATATGTCGAACCAGTTTGGCTGTGATCCACATTCATCATTTCTTGAAAGTTGACGATATATGATGATGGCAAGGGTCCGGTAAAGTAGTTATTGGAGATGTCAAAAATCCTCAGCCTGGGAAATGAAAGTTTGGTGCCGATAGAAGGGATGTCACCATAAAATTTATTTGACTGCAAACTGAGTACCTGTAAAGTTGGCAAAGTTTCTAAATAAGAGGGAAATTTATCCTCTATGTCATTGTTTCCAAGGTCCAAAACATCAAGGTTTGTACAGTGATTCAAAGTCTGTGGAAACGGTCCCTTCAAGTGATTTCCATTCAACTTGAGAGTCTTAAAGGCATTTCCTTCAGAAAAGTTATCGGGTATGCTTCCGTAAAGGTTGTTGTCTTGCAAATCCAACGCCCAAAGAGAAGGAAATGTTCCCAAGCATTGTGGAATAAGTCCTGTCAAGTTGTTGTGAGCCAAGTTGATTACATAAAGCATTGTTGCGTTGCACAATGCTAAAGAAATGTCCCCACTCAGTTCATTATTTGACACTGAAAAGTATCGAATGCCATTTGGTAGAATCGGAAGATCTCCTTGCAACTTATTGAAACTGAGATCAATGTAACTAATATTCTTCCAGAAGAGCAAGAGGTTCTCTTGAAACCTTTTGGGAAACCTTCCTTGAATTATGTTATGAGAAATATCTAATTCTTTCAGATGTGGTGTCGAGAAATTTGGAAAATTGCCTTGCAGTTTATTATTAGAAAGTCTCAAATATTGCAAAGAATTAGATGAGAACTCACTAATTGACCCTGTGAGTTGATTGTTACTAAGATTCAAGATGAATAAAGAAGGCAAAGAATAACACCCACCGGGAATTGATCCGTTTAACATGTTACCACTCAAACTTAGGATCGATAATTCAGATAGTTTGGTGATTTGGGTTGGAATTGGGCCAACTAATTTATTATCTGATAAATGTAAAAGAGTAAGGAGAGTAAGATCAAACAATGATGGTGGAATAAATCCATCAAAATTGCTTTCAAAAAGGGATAGTTGGACAAGAGACTTCAAGTGGGCTATGGAATCAGGAATGTCTCCTGAGAAATTAGTTCGATAAATAAACAAGGCTCTTAGTGGAGTAGTCCAGTTGGAGTTTGGAAGTTCACCTGTCAGGTTTTCATTCGATAAGATACTCATTTCTTGGAGATTGGGTAAACAGAGGATGTCAGTTGGCCATTTCCCTTGGAGTTTGGTATCCGTGAAACGGAGAGAAAGCAAAGAGGACGACAGATTGGTTAACAATGACAAAGAGCTCTCTCCCACAGAAGACATGTTCACTCCACGTAAAGAAATTTCCCTTAAATTGGTGGCATTGTGAATGAGTTTGTTCCAAGTGTATGAATCAAGTCTCGGTATGGATTCACTAGAGTGTACATTGAGATCAAGATTTTTTAATTTTGACAAGTGAGAGATTTTGGAGGGAACATCACCATTAATTCTAAGGTAATGTAAAGTTAAATATGTGAGGCTGACAAGATCACCAATTGCAGAGTGTATTGGAGATCCATCTAAATCATAAGAAAGTAGGCTAAGATGTTGAAGGTGTCTTAGCTTGAAAATGGAACTATTGGGACCAAGTAGCTCACCTTTAAGAGGAGTGCAGGAAAGATCGAGGCCAATCACATGACCTAACTCAGAGTCACATCTGACACCATTCCACCCGCAACAATCTGTTTCATTGTTCCAAGATGCTGTGTTTGATAAATACGGGAGACAATTAAACGAAGTTGATGGCTTGACAACAGTAACTGAATTTTTGAATTGCAACAGGACAGATTCGTCATCAGGGTTGCATGACAAACAATTGTATGAAGAAAAATGTAGAAGCAAATATTGGAAGATAATCAAGTATGACACTAAAACCCAACGCATATTTAAATGTAGTTTGGTTGCTGCCAATCCAGTGATTTCATCTATATATAAGAAGAAATTGGGCGATTTTAAATTTTCAAAAAAATAGTATATAGTACTTAAATTAATTTTGTATTATACGTAAACCAATAAGAATTATATACGGTGGTCTAAAACCATTTCCTTACAGATGTTTTTATATAATTTCATGACATTTTCTTGAAATTAGTTTATCGGCAAACTAATTTCTCAATTTTTATGTTTATGGAATTTTCTCATTTTTTTTATTTTTCCTGTTTCATATTGAAGTCTTATGGTGAAGATGGCTAGCAATTTCAAAAAAGAAAGGACGAGTATTATGTTCGAGATTTCCAAGTCTTGCGTCCATTTAAGGTCTTGAGACTTTCTAATAGAAATGACAACGTGTGAGATTTTTTATATTTTTTCATTTGTCAAAATTTGATAATTATGTATTAATCAGATAGTTAAATGCATACTTGCAGTTGTTAGTGATATTTTGGTTTAAAAGTTTTAAATATTCTAAAGAATGATAAATAAGAGGAGGACGGAAATAAGTGATGAGACTTGAATGCAATATGGAATGTAGAAAGTTTCCTGAGAAAGCAAAGAAACAAGACTTTGGAATTTCCCCTTTCAGCTCTTCATTCAATGAGAAAGCTCAGCGGCTGAAAACAAAAATATTAATAATATTTATTCTCACAACAATTTTCCAACTTCTATTGTACGTTAAGGTTTATGAACTTTCAGAAATAAAACAAAAAATATTGGAGAAAAGAAAGTATTCCAGCAAAAGTTTACAAAAAAATTCAAAATAATATGTAATACAATGCAACATTTTAAGATAAAAAGAATTCTAAATAAAATAAACTATAACGAATATATTCTATTTTTAAAACATTTTAGTTACAAAATTTTTATTTTTATCGTTGAACAACATTTTTTTTCATGACGAATATTTTTTATATTACATTACATTAAATTTTAATTTCGAGAATTTGAGCATGAGAAGAGCAGTCTAAGGTTCCATAGTCTAACAACATTAATGTTCTTGTCTCTCACAATTAAATTTATGATTGAGATATCATACAGATAACAATGACTAATGCACCATTATTTGAACAATAATATTAAGTGTTAGATGTATTTTAGTATAATGATTAAACATTGATAATAAAACATATCTAACAATAAATTTATTTTTGAATTTATTTATCATTAACAAACAAAACTTTACCATTATCATATATTTGTGAGTCATAAGGGTGTACAATCCAATCAAATATTAGTCTTCTCTTTTGAACTAATTAATACTCGAATGAATATACATAAATACAAACATTTAACCTTTCTCACAAAATATCTACTTAACAGTGGTCACTTTGACTATTTTTTAATTCAATTTGTTCATAAAAAATGCTAAACTATTAAAATTTAAATTTTTTATTTATATACCAAAACCAAAATTAATTATAACCTTTTATTATTATTATTATTTTTATTTATATACCAAACTATATATATACTTTATTTATTATTATTATTATTTTTATATCTAAATATATATGATTTTCCAAACATGCCATTCACTTCAATTTCAATTTGGAATTGAGATTCAGGGAAGAGTGCTTTCATTCCTGCCTTTGATATCCAATTAAAGCACTTAATAACAAATGTTAGATTATGAACCAAAACATATTAATAACTCTTTTGGTATTAATATTGTTCCATTGTTTTTTCTTAATTCATTTTTTTCAATGCAGTTTCAATATTTATTTAAAAAAATTAATATGGTCTAATGCTAATCTAACAATAACATAATTGATCACATTGATTCTTAATCAATTTTGGAATCAGTAAAAGAATTAAAAAGAAACTTTGAATAATTAGTAGAAATAGTGGTAAAAAAAGGTATCAAGTCTTAAATTTATAGAAGAATTAATAATGCGTTATTTAGTTTTTTATTATACCTAAATCAGCTAGAATTATATATGATGATCCAAAACTATGTCCTTAAAGATTATATATATATATATATATATATATATATATATATATATATATATAATTTTAGGACTTTTTTTTAATTAGTTTATCATCAAACTAATTCCTTCGATTTTTTTTTATGGAATTGTCTATTTTTTATTTTTCATATTTCATATTTCATATTTAAGTCTTATGTGGTGAAGATGGCTAGAAATTTGCAACAAGAAATGACAAGTATTATGTTTTAAATTTCCAGTCTTCTATCCATTTAAAGGTCTAAAGACTTTCTAATATTGAAATATATAATAGTGGAATAATGTTAACATGTAAGAAAAGGTTATTAAATAATAACTAATTTAGAGATAAAAAATAATTGATTATTTAATTAAATTACAAATTATCTTACAAAAATGAAAAGTTATAAATACTTAAACTAATTTTAAATATTAATAAAAGTATAGTCTTGATTTATGAATCAGAATTTAAATTAATTTTAACTATCAAGATTTTAAATATATACTACTATTATAATTAATAATATTTCTTATAATTCTTAAATATAAATATCTATAAAGAGGATATATTTTTTTGGTGTTTTTTTTCTTTTTCAATATTATTCTCTTATTTACAATTTTTTAAATTTAAAAATTAATTCAAAATAAAAATACTAGTTTTCAGTTTTATTATTTTAGTATCTATTTTTTTAAATTCAAATTAATGCTTTTTATAAAATAATTATTTATTATTTTATCAATCATTTTTCAAATTTAAATAATCACTCGTAATAAAAACTCTATTTACACAATATTATTTGTAATATTTTTTATTTTAATAAATAAAATTTATTTTATCTATAACTATATTTATAATTATATATACATTTTAATTTTTTGATTTTATCTTTTAAATTATTATTTTTAAAATTTAAATAATTTATAGATATTTATAAATACATACGTAGATGAAAGGTTTTGTGTTTTCGTTAGTTATTGATAACATACTCAGATATATTTTCTCATATTTATTTTCCTATTTCCTATTTAAGACTTATGTTGAAAATGACTACCAATTTCCAACAAGTAATGGCTAAGTATTATGTTTGAAATTTCCATGTCTTGCATCCGTTTAAAGGTGTAAAGACTTTCTAATAGAAATGGCAACTTCCAATGTGTGACAATTTTTTAATTCTATCTTCCCCATAAAATGATGTTTAAATAGTATTTGAAATTTCTAAAAAAATCTATGTTGAAATGGATATTTAAAAAAAAAATGTAGTATTGAATAAATAAAAAATTGACTTCAATAAATATTTTATTACTTTTAATTAATGTTGTTGGCAAATTATTTTTTATTATTTTATTTCAATATACCATCTAATTATAAAGGTTATATATAAAGATTTTTTACATTAGTAGAATTTGTCTACTAATTAAAATGTTCTATAATTAGCATTAAACAATAATAGTTACTGTAATATCCCAAAATTATACAGTCATCAACTATATACTTAGAATAATCACATTTATCAATATGGCAAAACAGTCTTAAAATAACAAGGATTAAATTCGAGAATAGCCGAACGGCCTTAAATGCATTCATAAGCTACGAGCGTTTACAAAACAATGAGGACGAATGGTTTACAAAATAAGATACCGAACGTCCAAGTATTTACATCAAGTAAAAGGGCGCTCGCTCACAAGCGGCCCGCTATCCTAAAATACACTAACTAAAAACCGAACGACCTACTGTTCGGCCTTCACTTCCACGTTTACGAGATTTTCTTCAGTTATGGTTTCTTCTTCAAGCGCTTGCTCCAGAGAAGCATCTCCCTCTGCTCACATCCACACGGATGATCATTGCAAGGACATGACGGATATACATATACAGACAACACAATGAAAATGCAAGGGTAAGCTTATTGAATTTAATTCAAGTCAAACATAT